AAACGCGTGAAGGAAAGGTTTATCATTTTTGTTAGAAAAAAAGTGGATGAGAGCGGATGTGGACGAAAAGTTTAGAGCGTAACTACCTCAAAGATATAAATGATTAATGAGATTCTACTAAATGAAAACCCAGAAACATTGAAATTAACCATCGAGTTGGAAACTCAGTTGTCAGAAAGAAGTACTTTAACATGCAAATTCCTATTGGAGAACGCAACAAAATCTTTTGAAAGCTAGATGTCGTAGAAAATGAGGATAAAAAGGCAATTACAGATGAATTCCGAAATAAAAACGATAATTCATCCATTGGAACACTGATAACACTTTTCATACATGCTATAGCATAAATAATGCACACAAAAGCGATGGGATTTAGAATGAAAGTTAATAGGCGAAATAAGCGAAAGTGAGTATTGCAAATATTATGATAACAATAAAAAAATCGACACTTCAAATTTCAAGAAACCTTTTTAGTTTGATGTAAATAGGGAGGGGGAGGGGGTGGTGGGGGTGGGGTGGCTTTAAATAATAGTCAAAATAAATAAATCCGGCCACGACCTACCCAAAAGGATTCAAAATGAGCGATTTGTGTGATGCGGTAGATTTCGGGATGGGGATATCAGAGATCTTTTCTTTCAAGAGAGCATTTACAGGACTAGTATCACCTCCATTCGACACAACACTGCTAGTCTCCTGGAGTAGACTCTCAAAATCGTCTAAATCAGTTGTGATTTGGAATCTATGCTTCATGGTTTGGAAAGAGACCAGATAGCTACAATCCTTTAATATAGGTCTGTTGTAATATAGAAAACCATTCTCGTAAGAAGCTGACCCATGATTAAGTAAAATATTGTAAAAGAACACTCCACACACAGTACATTGGACAGGCCATAATGCGTGGAAAAAGTAAGCTTAGTGGTAGTAGAATTTGATTGGCAGACAAGTCAGCCAATGGGGAACCCAGCGGCCAAATTAACGGCAAATCAGTAATTAGTGATGGCTAATTATTTTCTTCAAACCCACATCAGTTGAATCTTAGATTAAAAGGAGTTAATTGTCACACTAATTGATAGGAATTACGGGATTTCAATGATGGGTTTGATCTGAAATTAAACCCTTTAGTCAAAACGATTTGAATCACCAGGAAATTTATAACAAAGCGCCGCATTTGGGAATACCATCAAACAATTGTAATTTAGATCCGACACAATGACGCAGAAATTGATGCCTTTGATAGAAAGAGATAATTATTAATCTCTCAAGACGCTAATTCATAAGCTTGGAAATATACAAGTCTACTAAAACTCAAAAAGCTTCTTGAATAATAATCAAAAAAAGGCTAAATTATCCGTCGTTTTAACTTACTAAAGTATAAATTTTGTGCGAGTACGTTCTAATAATGAAAAATTAGAAAAAAATATTGCATTTACAAGTTTACTTTGTGAAGAAAATGTGGACATAGAAAATTATGTGAATCATGCGAAAAGAGTAAGTGAATGACATTGATTTTTTAATTTGATAATGAAAAATACATTTATGCTATTAGAACATTCTTAAAAGTATAAATTTAGGAGTTGCTCAAAAGTTTGAAAATATGAAATCAATCAATTTGCGATACATAAA